TGCCCCCGGCCTCCCCCGCCCGTTCCGGGCAGCAGCAGCCTGGGGTGCTCCGTCTGTCGTCTGTCCCCGGTGGGTCCTGGCACCCGCTGCGCTGCCTGGTGCAAGGGCTCGGGCAGGGCTGGGGGGCTGGCAGCAGCGGCAGGGTTGCTTCTGCACCACCACACACACACCCCCCGCCAGCAAAGAGATGAGAGGAGAGAGAGGGGGCCAGTTTCCCCTCCATGCCCTACCTGGCTGTCGCAGTGACTACCCCAACTGTGCTGGCAGCCCCCTCAAGCAGGACCTGCTCCCCCCCTCAGGGAGCCTCAGCTTGGGGAGAAAGATGGCATCTGCAGCCCTGGGAGCTGCGTGGGTGGTGTGGGCAGAGCGAGGGCAGGGCTGCCATGCTACCAACGGGGCTGTGGCAGAGCCCAGAGGTTGTGGTGATGGGTGTGGACAGACATGGCTGCTCTGCCAGGGCCCCCCAATGTTGGCAGCTGCTGGAGCAGGGCCCTGCACAGCCCCCAGTACAGCACGGGCCAGGACTTGTGGCAGGAGTGATGGCCGCGTGTGACCAGGATCCCCATGCCTTTCCCTGGACCAGCCAGTGGCATTTGGGGATGGGGGCACAGCACAGAGACGCATGGGCAGGCAGGCATGTCTGTCTCTGCAATGTACCAACATCAGCTAGAGGAGGAGGAGGATGGGCACAGCCTGAGCAGGGGGTGACTGCCAGCACCAAGAGCGGGGGCAGAGAGCACCAGGGTGGCAGAGGGGGCAGCTCCTGTTGCAGGCAGCATGGACTCGTCCTGGTGCCAGGAGCAGCAGAACTGTGGTTCCTGAGGGGTGGGCAGGAGCTGAGCAGGTCCGAGGGCTGTGGTGCCCAGCACCAGCAGGCCCTGGGCAGCGTGGGTCCCCCATTCCAGCCCCTGTGGTGGGGCTGCCTGCCCAGGGCTGTGCTGAGGGCTGCGTCTCTGCAGGACGCTGGTGGACTGCGTGCCCCTGGTGGAGGTGGAAGACATGATGATCATGGGGAAGAAGCCAGACTCGAAGTGTGTCTTCACCTACGTGCAGTCCCTCTACAACCACCTGCGTCGCCATGAGTTGCGCATGCGGCAGAAAGAGTGCTAAGAGCCTGCCCTGCCCACCTCCCCACTGTCCCCTGCCCTCAGGGCTGCCGGCGGGCAGGGGGGCTGCCTGCCCCAGGAGGGCCCGGGGGTGCCACAGGACCGGTGCTGGGGAGGGGGGCTCCGCCACTGGGGCAACCCCATGCCTCTGCCCCGCTGGAGCCCCTTCTGCTCTGGCTCGCTGG